AACATCGACCAGACTACACAGCGCAACAACCCAGAAGACAGAAATCTTCATACTCATCGCCCTGATGACGGAGGCAGTATGACCTCTGAAACGTTGGTAAACATCGACCAGACTACACAGCGCAACAACCCAGAAGACAGAAATCTTCAAGAATTATAATGTTATTAATTATGTACAACAGCACATCGGTACGCAGGCTGAAACAGTTCTGGTTACAGAATAATCCTTTAGCTTGTTGCGATGTATAATTAAATAAAGGAAGTATTGCAGATAAATTACTTGCTGTGTGAGATTTCGTAATATGATAATGGTGATGTAATTATAAGCAGCGTGTCTGTATCAATACAATATATTAATATTGTCTTAAATATTATCTATGAATATTTCGCGGATGTATGAGAGCTAAAAAAACATTAAGAACTCAAAAAACTAGACTTAAATTGTGTAAAGTCACGACAGGATTAATAAAAAACAAATGTATTTGTAAAATTATGGAAATTCATTATATAAAGAATATGAACTAGCTCTGTCAAGTCGTAAAAATGTACAAAAATTGTAAAATATTAATTCAATAATTAAAGGAGATAATTAAAAGTATTAGCAAATATCTTCTAATTTTTCTTTTGTGTGTTGAGAACCTGCACTAGCTGAAATTTTAAATATAAATATTATTAATAATTTTTATAACTAATGCTTTATAATGGACCACATATACGCCATCTAATACAACTGTTATAAATATAATTATCATTATTATAAACACATTTATGTTAGATGGTACACAATAGAAATGGTTGAAACAGTACAACGGTATGACATCCAACTTGAATCGTAGCTTGTAGGTTGTGCCAGCCCCCTTCACATATGTAGCAGTGCTTAAAGGAAAACACCCTGTTTTACTCCCAGACATTCTTCTAAATTCATTAACTTCTATATTCTTTTTTTCATTATTTATCAAGTAAAACACTGCTTATTTCGCCCAGCCAGTCATAGACTTGACAATTTAATCTGAAAAGCTTGAATTCTACTCGGATGCAAAATTCGGGTAATTAGTAGTAATTAACTGCTGTTAGTAATTACCTGCTATTTTACTCTCATTACGAGGCCACGACTTTAAAGACCGAGGGTCCGTACGTATTCGTAATTAAGAATACTTCACACATATTTTTTACCTCTTACAATAAAAGCATATGACTAATTTCGTCTCCCTTAACACGTTTGGGCCGAATATAAATGTAGACGACAGTGTGGCGATATAAATAGGGTACTGTGCTCTTGAGAGGAGCAGATTACACTGCAAGTCCTCTGTCCCCGGCCGCAAGAAGATTGAAGGAAAGACAGCACAGTGGCGAGCTGGGACACTCGGTGACAGTGGTCATGTATCTTCTGGTAAGGGATGTCCCAGAAGTGGCAGACAAGCACTCCTTGATGGAATATTACAGGAACGAACAAGTATAATTGTTTTACTTTATCCTGCATTCAGGGAGGAATGCGTGCCTTTCAAATGCTTTCATTAATTTTATCCATTTAGCAAAACTTTCCCAATTGTATAGATCATACAGCGTAAATGATACGAAGGTTGTTAATGAGTTGGTACAGGTATAAAAAAAACTGAGATGAATGTGGAAAGAAATGTTTCTGGTCTATCACAAAGTAATACACAAACTTTTCCTAACGAAACTGGGGAAGCTCTAGAAAATGCTATTAGTCTACAGAACCATGTTATGTACTTTACTTTCTACCGCTGACTTATGCTGACTGAGCGGACTGTCTTGGGCCCAGACGCGGTCTCCCTCCCCTGGACAACTTGTCTTCCGCAAAGCAGAGTGTATTCTCAGGAGTACCAACGAACACAGTGCGTTAAAGTATAAGTGGAATAAATTGCTAGATACTAACCTAACCTATCTCCATTAGAAGATAATTCCGCATCCAATGGCAAAGCCGGGATTGGACCTTCTGGAATCACGCAACAGGTCGACTGTTTAAATGATGTGGTAATATTGGGCGCACCGAATGGATCATAATTTGAAGCGGTATGTCGTGGCCTGGGTATTAGGAAACCGGCAACTATCACGCAGAATGGTACCGAAACGTCACCACGAAGAGGAATTTGTGTTGTGTTTCGCTGTATAACGTTTTGACGGTAGCTTTTATGTTAACAAACAGATTTTTTTCAAAATAGAATTATGGTTCTGTTTAATGACAATCTAGGATTGTTTCCGAAATGTGTGAATCCTAATAGTGTGCATCTACGTTTCAACCGTATAAACTTCATATTTTAGAAATTATTACGTAATTTTCGTTTGTTCCGAGAACCGGTGGAAAGAAAATTGAGAACATTTTACTAGATTTATCAGATAAACAGAAATTCTCACTCTTGTTCATAGCAATCAGTTTTATGACTGCGTAATTGACGCAAAAATTAGGGAAAACTGTATGTATTTCCGAAGTTTTCCTGTACACATGATGTTACATTGCTTGTAAATAACATATTTACATAATGAAGTACCCGGTACACCATTTCAGATTAGCTCTATGATTATTTAATACATTACAATAAAATTCCACTCGTACCTTCGTACAGGGCGTGGCTTCCCAATACGGCGTTCAGCTCATGCATTTGGTGCAGTGACACAATAATCCCATGCAGAATACTGCAGGTCTTGCAGAAATATCTTCTTGTTGCCACAAAGACAAAGGGTCTATAACCTTTAACACCGGCCAAAGTCTGGCTGCCAACAATCACAGCTCCCCGGAGATTCGAACTGTGACAGGAATAGATGACACCACCATTTGTACAGCCTGTTCCGCAATACGTAGACAGCAACACTCACAGGGTGCTCCCAAAACTTAAAAACATGTCTGTCAAGTTATCGACAGATGTGAACTGTCTTCCGGTTCGTCTGGTATTGGGTTTAATTTCGTTGCTACAGGAAAACAGTTTTTTAAGGACGTGATATCAGCTGCTAAAGCCATTCAGCGTTAGGTATGATGAGAGAAAGTCTAAGCATATAGAAAACGTATGGGGAACCGGAAAGCGAAGATGTCGATGTTGGTCGTTTGGGTTGTAACGCCTAAAGCTAGAGGCAGTACGCTCCACCGAAACAATTATACTGATTATTTTAAAGCTCAGAAATCTAACATCGACTTACTTACAGCCGTAAGAACGACAAATCTTTTATGTAATGCACATTGGGTTTACGTTTCATTTAACCCTTTGAAGACGTAGCTCATCTAAGTAGTTCTTAAACATCAGTAGTTACTACAGCAAGGAGAAAAACTCTTACAAACAAAAATAGGTTAATGCTGTTGAATGAAATAATTTATGTTTACTTTGAAAAAATGCAGTGTTACAGACTGTTAATTCAGGTGGTACATATATTTACCACTGGGCTTTAAAGAGTTAAGCCGTTAACATTTGGAATGACACCTCGAAGTGGAAACACAGATAATCGCATGTATACGTCCATATCCTGAGACTATCTCATATCTCGTAATCCCTGTCTGAGACCAGAATTATACTCTTATTAAGAGAATTAAATCAAACCTAAGCTAGGGCAATTACAGCAGCTTGCTTCTTATTTCAGCAGATGTGAAACTAGATAAGAGGGACTCTTAATTTTGTTTCCCTTTTAAATTGTATATATATATATATATATATCAACTGAGCAATTTATTCCTAAGCGCACTGCAATTACTTAACACATCCAGAGTGCTTAAAGATAAGTGGCTGGAGAAATAAGAAATCCCTACAAATCAAAATGGACAGCAATTTACGTGGAGGGTAAATGGAGTGGAAATTAATTATAAGACAAAAATGTGTGAATCCATGGCCATGATTTTCACGGTTGCAGGTTTTACCATGAGCTACCTATCATTATAAACACTTACAAATAGAATGATCTAGCTATAATTTCAGAAATATAAGGAATATTTTCCAAAAAATAAATTACGTTAAATATATTCGCTGTTGGTGATATTGATACCACAATTTCGAAGACTCCGACACTGCTCGAATTACCATTACGTAGGTCTATATGGTTTCTTCAATAGGCCTAGATCAATATAAATACAGTACATTACGCAAATTTCCGTTTTGGGGAAAAAAGCACAATTGGCTATCATACGAAATATTTTGATGTAATGACGATGATTGATGACAATTCTGTATTGTCGATAACAATAATTACATGATACAATATTTAGTGTTTTCCAGATTTGTGCAAATATGTATAGCTTGCCAGAGGGGCAGCTTGTGTGTACGTAACAAAATTTGGATCAAACTTGTTGTTTTAAAGTTAAATTTAAAATTTCACTTTTTCGCACTGAACTAAGTCTAAGACCGAGTCAAAAGGTGAGGCCTCAACTGAAAACCAAGGTCTTTAAAAGTAGACATAAGAAAGGATTCACTTCAAATAAAAACACTTCCACTCTTACAAATGTGAGAGCAAACTTTCGTGGCAGTAAGAAGAAATGGCATCCGTCAATGGACCTCAGCGAAACCAGAAAAGACAACAGGCCGGAAGAGGAAAGATCCAGGAAGCCACGATAAATCTCGCCAGCTCTTGTCTCTCACTCAGGGAAAAACAATCGCCAATCGATTGGAAATGGGGAATTTATAGGTTGTAAGATTTATACTATACAGAAAGTAGGCAGGAACTCCGCTTCCAGAATTAATGTATCGGTTTAAGGATCAATGATAAATCAAATGTCACAAGAAAGACATTCGAGATTTTTAGTGTAATTTAAGACCGAAATCGAAATGAACTGATGGCGGACACACAAAAAATAAATACATGGATCAAATTTTATTTCATTTGTCAGTTTTCTGACGTAATGGCATGATCTCGTCACGTGAATCCGCAAGTTTAAAAATGTAACGTACCCAAGCACTACACAATGAAGGCGTAAAGGTTACTTTGGAGTGAAGGTTTGGCACTGACAGTGTCAGCGGTCGTCGGGTTAACGCCTTGGATGCTTTGCCCCTGGTACTCATACAGGATACTGTGTGGATGTTAAAATCGGTCTGTACGTGATGGCGATAAGAAATACCATACACCCTTTCGGCAATAAAGTCCTGGCCATCAAGTCTGTCACTTTAATGACTCATATTTCGAATCCTATGGTCCTCAAAAAATCTTATCAAAATTTTTAAAAGTACATCTATCCATATTCGAGTAGGTCTACTCTATATGGACGATTCCTTTCCTGTCCAATAATAGTGAAATCAGTTAATAGTCATAATTTCCTTTTATCATTCACTAAACCTATTCATTGTCATTATACGGAATGTCCCGAAAGCCAAGCAGCCCGAATTTTAATAGCACACGTTTTGTTAATGCGATCAGAAACTTCAATTTTCCGTTCCAAGTGGTAAAACTGGCTTCAAGAAGCCGGTGGTCTATCGCTGTTTCTTCCTATTCGCTGCTCTTTACTCTGTTGTGTTGTAACAAGCAAAACGCCGTTTTCAACAGTGCAGCGTGTGTTAAAAACTTTAGGTTGTGTTACTTTTGGGACATGATCTATATTTTACTCATGCTACCGATGTTCACAATTTTATAAAAAATATAAGAGTAGGAGAAAAATAGACACATTATTAACGAAAACTGGAGACTCAGAAACACTCAAGAGATCTACTGTATAATGGTATTCGTTCTACGAAATTTTATTTTCTTTCGAAAAATTGGACAGTATTCCTAGGATACACCACCAAGATTCTTTATAAATGTTTCAAAGTAGATGTGCGGTAATAAAGTGGTGTTTTATTAAAATTCGGGATATGACGCCTCTGTCTGGGTAATGTGCGTCACAGACACGTCACTTGCCATTCGCTCTAAATGTTACTTTACCGGAAATGAAACATGCATAAATGTCACTAACAGATGCCCACGAAAAGTATACTGAGATGCTGGAAAAAGAAAAACTAAAGAAGTGCATATATTATGCGGCAGGAAGGAGAGACGGTGATATTTTCTTACAGAACACATAAACTCCATGTTATAACGTGGCTGGTTCAGGTAGGAGGGCGTGTGTGTACTTCTTTTGGGGCCATCAACTCCCGCATCCAATTCCCTGGTACTGCTAGCTTCGAGAACTATCCCCAGCACTTCCAAAGCACATTTTATGAGACACCGTAATGCTTCTGAGCAGTGTCCGTTCGCTCTAAATGTTATTTCCCTTTACCTCCTTTGAGTCCTAAAAAACCACCCTTCGTTCTAAGCTTCTGGTCTCCTATTTATTTTATTACGTTTTCACGGCCACCAATTCAAACAGAGGCTATTTCTAAAGCTCATGTTTCAGCAATAGTAAAATCCCTGCAGTTATGTCCACGAATATAATGCAAAGAATAATGTAGGCCTATATGAGACTGTCCTTGTCTTATAATGTAACAAGAAATTGTATCGCTGATGTGCTCTGGGTAGTGAAGTTGATTTATCAAATGGAATACAGTCCTCTTACAGAGGATCTGTGTAACAATCCGTTTTACAGAAAAGAGTTCTTAGCCTACCTACCTGCAAACAGAAGAACCGACACTTTAAGCAGCCCATGACTGCTTAAACAGTATATTCGCAGTTCCCCCTCCAAACCCATGTCTGAAGACCACTATCACCCGCAACCTGATGACCTATCATGCTGTGGTGGCAAGGGTCCACTTATAAGTAGATCCAATGGTTATAGAAAGAAATAATTAGGCCGACTACGTATGAAAATTGTAGCAAGTGGATGAAATAAATTCAGTCACAAATTAACCCATAATTCGATGAGATCTGATGTTCTCACGGCGATGAATATAAAATATAATTTTCATATTCATTCATCATATGTTCTTTGGGTGTTCTTATATTAGTTTCTGTTATAAACTGCCACTGCTCCATGGAATGAATAAATTAATTAGCAGAAACCACGGAATACAGTACAATAATACACATTATTTCCTAAAAATTACCAACTGTATGTTTCTGACACAAACCAAGATCGTCAAAAACCTGGAAATTTGTAAAAATAATGAAACAGTTCTTTTATATTCTCCATTTGCAATCCCTACTCTGCACTTGTGTGCTTCGTACGGCGTCTTTTAATTTATTCTGTCTGCTTCTTCTTCCCCAAGGTTTTCATTAAAGCCAGAAAAGCACCCTGGTTCCCAAAGACGCGTTCCAACAACTGAATGCGTCCACAGTCAGCGGTAACAGGCCGGTCCCGGCCTGTTGGCGCTCCTAATGACAATCCTCCAACTAAACTGACGAGACGAGCTGACGGGCATTATTTTGAACTTGTCTCCTTTATTCCAAGGTGCCTGTTCTTTCACTTTGAGCAGCTACTACAGCGACTTTAAAGCTGCCTTGTAGCGGTAGATGTTGTCATTAAGAAGGAATTTAGAGCCAAGTATTTCCGCACATCAACAATTTGAAATGGAACAGCTCTAATAACACATTTTAACATATGATTCATAAATTGTAAAAGTTCCGACAAAGAGAAGGTGCATGGTGTTACAAAATATTGTTCCTCCCTTCTCTTTATTAATTTGCCTTCTATCTTTCCTTCTTCGGCTCTTTCTTTCTTGCCCTTAATTTTTCCTTATTTCTGTCTTGTATTATT